AAAAAGAATGTAGGAATTTTCTCTCATTATGATTCTTGCCAAGCAAACTATCAACTAGGTTATCCTTTATGCATTAAGATAACTGACTACTAGTACTAGTTGTTATTTTGTTTGTCAAACCTACTTGAGTAAATTCTTCCAATAAATCCATATGATCATTGTGCATTTGCTACTAAAGAGACTATCGACGATATATAAATACAAAATGAAACAAAGTCTAAGATATGAATAACTCCGCTTACATATGGGATAGTTTTCGTGTGCTAGTATAAAACAACTGGATGGAAAAAAAGACTTATGAAAAATGGACAGACAATAAACGGTAGTTCAAACAACCCATGTCATTCTAGTCAACACTATCCAAGCCATATCCAACTTGAGAATGCACAATGAACTTACTCCTATTTATGTCTCTTGCCTTGTATATGTATTCTTCAATAGTTAAAACTTGTCTTTGATTCACAAATCAGCAACTTGTCTAAAGTGCATTCTTACATCGGCATGATGTGAAAGTCTGCAAGAGTGAGATCGTTTTTACCAACTGCTTACCAATCTGAGTTTTCATACTACAAAACAAGTTATAAGTTCGTTTGTCAACCATCATAAAAAATACTCTTTTGTCTTTCTGTTTGCTGAAAAAAGAAAAGAGTAACGAGCTAACGAATTGATAGTGTATTACAATTCTTTAGTTTTGTGTCTGGCAATCCATATATACTGCACTTTTTTATATGAATTGTTCGTGCTTCTTGAAATAACTAGCTTCATACCATCAAAGTCATTTCCTTGGGTATCTGGAACAATCTCTTCCCAGTGCAAGTTGACAAGGTTTTCTTCGTTCGTTCGTAGAGCTGTTTCCACCTGACCTTGTTGTCGAAGAAAATTGATAAACTTGAGTGTACACACTTTGGTAAATGTTTTCTTTTTCTTCTCAGTATGGACTGTCAAGTCTACTGCTTTCTCTTTTTCTTTATACCTTGGTTTCCTTGGATAGTTTCAAAGAGCTACAAAGTAAACCTTCTCTTGCTTCTTTTCGGTCATATAGTACTTGATTGCTTTAATATATATACATATATGTATGTGTGTGTGTTTAGATCCATATAGTCTTGACAATTTTTGTTGAGTTTAAAAGAAACAAAAATTGAGTCATTGATGATAGGATGTATATCTAATAGCTTTGCAATTGTTGAAAACACTCTGAATTTTTTCGAGTCAAACAGAAAGGTAGTCGGAACAACAAATTTCGGAGTCTCTACGAAAAGAAAAAGACAATGAAATCTGATAAACAATTGGCAATGTTGGTCAACAGAGTAAAAGCCAGTGAACAAAGAATTCGTGAAATGTATGGACCAGTCCATTCTCAAAAGAATAAGAATATGCGAGTAGTAAACAGAAAGCTTTATGAATAAATGGATGGGATGTAACCTTATGTAGTTTTCATTTATAAAAAGCCTACTGAAAGTTACTTATTGGAATCCTTTTATCCAGAGTGAGGTAAAGGAAGATCGTTGGCGACTTTGAACGAAACAATTATTATACTGCATTTTATCCTTTACCCAATTACCAAAAGACTGCTAGTCAGTTGAAAAAAGTCCATACCAAATATACAATACCTCAAAATGACTACTGTTCGACAATCAAACCCTTTCCAAATTTTGCAAGGTTTCCTTATTTCTTTCACGGAAACAAAAAAACCATTTTACCTTTTATATTCCAAAGTTTAAACTATTTCGCAGTTGTACGAGACTGAAATTTACAATGGACACAAAGTTATGAAACACTATCAGAGAATCTTTTAGGACATAAAAAAGTATACGTTGACTTTGTCAAAGTTCATAAAATCGTTTTCTTTGTTAACACAAACAAATAAGTACCTTCAAGTAGGTATTTCAAACATATTTTAACAGGAAACAATTGAACTCAAAATTTGAATTTTCCAGACAAAAAAGAGATAGCATTTATCGAAGGAAAATTTGCAAAAAAAAAATGACACCTAGTGTTTTTCTGTTCATAAAGGTGTAGAACCATACATAAAATGGTGCGAAAATGAAAAAAAAACACTTGAGCTTGTTTTGGAAAACTCCATACAATAAAACTAATCGTTCAATAAATGAAAGTTTTATCTATCACCATCTCATGGATCATTTCAACCGTCTATCTCGATATCTTGTTACATTTAAAATAGCTTCCTTGAAAAACAGCCTTGTAAAAAGTGGAAAAAAGAGTGCGACACCAACTTCGACTCGAATGACGTTGTTCATATTTTTGTGTACCTTTTCCATTTTCCCATAAATATATAGTTCTTTGCGTTCTTTTTCACTCGCTCATTTTTGCACAGAGCTTTCTCGTCTTTTAAAACTTAAAACGCTTCATCTCCTTGTAAGAGTCAACTCATACTCCCAAGTTTCATTTCTTCCATAGTCTTGAGCCTACAATCCAACACTACCGTTTCTATATAGCCTTCTTCCAATCCATTTCATATTCGAGCAACAAAATTGAGCTTTGTAAATACAACATACGCTGGAGCAGGCTTGTATAATCTTCTCTCAACAAAGCAAACACAGACGTTCTTTTCTAGTTGCTTTCTTTTGAACTTGAAAAAAACAAAAACTATAGACCTATGGTGGTGAGATCCCTTCCAACGGCGATGTCTTTCAGCAATCCAACGTCTATTGATGTGGATATTACGCTAAACCAGATAGTAGTAAACAATAAATAGACCCAAAGTATGCAGAAAATTTCTCCATTTATTGTTCGACAGAAACTATTCGAGATACTTTTCAACAATTTCAATGGCACTCTCGCTTGTGTTTTCAAGTCTATGATGTCAGTAACTGTAAATCGATTGGAAGAAATGTTGAACAATTCCTGGAAATTTTTCTGGGTCTCACCTGTGATGTATCTAGTTCATCTTCTTCGATTGACTCCAACATACATATTCGTTTAACGTGTATACACTCAAACCAAACAGAACTCTAACAGCATTAAGAGGATCTTCTTTTTAACCATTCCTTGACTTTTAAAAGGCAAACTAGAAGCCAAAGTAGAACCTACATACCAAGACTTGTGCTTTCAAACAAAAATCCAACAGAGTCGCTCTAAAACTAGTCGATAGGGTCTTGGACAGATTGCTAAAAGCACGTCGAGAAGCATTCATAAAAGTGTGAAGAGTCAAATGGTCGAAATAAATAAATGTGAAGATACAGAATAAACAGATGGGCTTGGAGAAAGAGTCGTTGAGGAGAAGTCTTGTCATTTGAAAGAGTCGGTTTCTTGGTGATCCATCAATGTTTCTTGTACAACGTCCAACCTGGCTTGCGTCTCTTCTTGAAAAGCTGGGACAATAGCTAAAACATTAGGTTAGGTATTATACAATGAACAAGTCTCCTTGATTACTGCTAGACCTTTGAAAATAATCTCTCCATTGTAATCGGTAATAAATGTACAAGTTGTTTTTGGCTTTACGCGGCATCTTTTTGCAACGTCTTGAATGTTGGTCTCTGCGTTTTCAAAAAACTGAGTGAATCACAAAATATCTTTACAAAACAACGTGAGGTGTATATCCATTTCTGTGGAGTGTTGATATTACCTTGAGAACCAGAAAAGGAAACTAAAAAAAGGATTTTATCTATTCTCCCAAAAAAGAGGGACAGAAAGATTGATTGGTTTTACAAGGAAACAGTTAGTCCCCAAAAAAAGGATAAAAAAGCTGCAACACTATGTTCAACCAGCTGTATTGCTTTCAACAGAAAGGACACTACCAATTGGTAACGAGTCTCTGGTATGGATGACAACACTCTCTCAAACTATAGGAGAGAATGGGCGTGTAATATCATCAAGGTTATGGGTAAACATGGGAAAAGACTGTCGTTTAACTTGATGATGGTAAGAATCAACAAGGCAGGGAATTCTACAGTAATAGCAATCTAATGAGAAACCAATGCCAAGTCTTGTTGTCTCATCACAAAAAGCAACCAACAAAGATTGACAAATTTACAGAGAACTTGGTATTTAAAGACGTGATTGAAGCTTCTATTGTATTTGATAAAGGATTTTTCATGACATAGTTGCAAAGAAGAAAAGGCTTCATAAAGCGAATTCACTTTTTTCATTACAAGTGATTTCTTGGATCTGGTACTTGAGATTGGTCAACCAACATCATGAATTGATATTTGAGTTTAGAAAAGGAGATATCAAGGAGTTTAGGAATATGTAAAGGTGATTTCGTGGAGACTTGTTAAAAGTCTCACAAATGTAGGGGTACAATACGCTTATTGTATGGATGATTTGAGGGAATAGTAGGGGAATATTGTCCCGATGTAGGGGCAGTGTTTGGAGAGTGAAACATACTTTTGTAAGTATCACCTTAAGACAATCTAGTAAAACCAAACCTATCTCCAAGGCTGTAGTTGCTTCACTTTCTTTCGTACAGACATTAACAAGCCCTTGTCGTTGACGTAGAACACAGTTCTTGACTATGGATAAAACTGTACTCCAATCCTTCAAGTATGGTTATGCTTCAACAGGTAAACAAAAAGTTTTCAAAGGTTCTTTTCTTGTGTTTCTTGGGTGTCTTTGTCTCAAGGTCTCGTAAAGACTTGAGCTTCGAAAAGGACAACTTTTCTTTGACTTTTACTACTTGTAGCTTTGTTCAATGTCTTCGTAAACCAAACGATGATATCATTCAACTGGCTACTCAACTCAATATCACTTGTGTTTTTCCAAACTCGTTACTCTCAAGGGTACTTGTCCATTTTTAAAGAGTCATTTCAAACAATATTGAGGTGGAACCTAAACATGTTACAAACTGTGATTTTGCTGAATTGAAACGTATTTCTTTGTTATGGTTATTCAAAACAAGTACTTTTGAAAAGAGTAAAAAAAAATAACCATTTTTTGTCATTCTTCTCTTCTTTTGCATAGAATGTGTCTTTAAAGCATTGGCTCTTAATATTTTGTTATCACTGTGGAAATCAAAGTTAACTTTCTTGGAATGATCTTTTACTGTTTTAAATGGCTTTATTGATTTTTACACACACTATCCTCACAATTTCCAATTGACCGCTCTTTCCAAATTGGCCCTTTTCTTTTCATAATGGTAATTTCCAAATCAAAATCGCCTTTGGATTGGCCCCTCTTCAATTTCCTCACACCCCTTTTCCCACCCATTTTTCCCCCATGGCAATTTCCCCACTCTCTCCCATTTCCAATTTACCCATTCTTCCCCGCATCCATAATGGCAATTTCCAAATCAAAATCGCCTTTGGGTTGGCCCCTCTTCAATTTCCTCACACCCCTTACCCCACCCATTTTCCCCCATCGCAATTTCCCCTACTCTCTCCCATTTCCATTTTATCCATTCTTTCCCACTCCACACCCATAATGGCAATTTTTAAATCAAAATTGCGAGGGCCCATTCCTAACTGGCCACTCTTTTCAAACTGCCCACCTTTCCCATTAGCAGAAACAATCAATAAAAAGTGTGTATATTGGTGCTCAACATATTATGCAAAATCAGACCCAATGGAAACAACAAAATCTCCATTTTACAGTATACTAATATGATTCAACATTGGGTCAATTCTGGAAACAATGGACTCAAACGAGTTTCGGTCAACGATCTGTTTAGAATTTGAAAGTAATTTACAACTGTCAGGGAAAGAATGTGAAGATTTTCTCTCGTTATGATTCTTGTCAAGCAAACTATCAACTAGATTGTCCTCTGTGTATTTAGATGAAAGAATACTAGTACTCGTTGTTATTTCGTCTGCCAACTCTACTTAGGTAAATTCTTCCAATAAATTCATACAATCGTGAAGCAATCGGTATTAAATAGACTATCGAGGATATATAAATACTATATGCACCAAAGTCTAGGGTATAACGACTCTTCTTATGGGACAGAGAGTTTTATAGTGTCACGATAAAAGATCTTGATGAGCTACAGGACTCATAATAGACGGACAACCCAATGTGGTTCAAACAACCCATTTCATTCTATTAGCACTATCTAATCCAGTTCGTATTCAACTTGAGAATGAACAATGAAACTACTCCTATTTATATCACTTACCTTGTATATATCTTTTTCTATGGTACAACTTGTCTTTGACTCGCAAATCAACAATCTGTCTAAAGTGAATTCTTAAAGCACCTTTTTAAATAGGGTTGTCCTGCTACTATCCTCAGACGCTGGAATCAGTCAATTTTACAAATTCAAGTGCGACTATTTGTCAATTGATAAGTAAATGTGCTAGTATGACACAAAGCAGTCAATCAATGAATCAACACAAGCCAAACTCAATTCTTCATCCATAAAGATAACAAAGAGTCTGTTGTGAAAGGCATCCTGTACTAGTAAAAGCTGTACCAGGTTATCAACTTGAATTTGTAATAGCTTAATATAACAAAGATAAGAAACAACTTTTTTCACCAAAGGAAGTAAACGGACATAACCATATGTCTCAGCGTGACTTGAAGTACTAACAATCAAAGGT